ATTAAATCGACAAATCTAATATAAATATAACAAGGATACACAATAGCGAGGGATCGGTAAATGTGATGCAAAAATAAACAAACAAATTATTATTTTCGTATGCATAAATTTAACGCTCCCATAGGTAACCTCACTTGATAAATCGAAATAAAACATGACGTAGTAATTACATGACGTCATCAAATCGTGCATAACCAACATGGCTGACAATAAACACTTCCGGGTTTTAGTAAACAGTAAAATTGCTGATATTAGCGTAAGGGTAAGCTTTCAACATTAATTTACATTGACAATCAATAGTATTTAACATTTTCACAACATATAAACCGTATATAACAGAAAATAAATATGCATAGGTTAACTAGAAGGTAAATAAGGTCGGTGAAATGCGGTGCATCACATTATAACTGGAAATTTAAACGAGAATAACCATGCTAACGATTTTATATAAATCTCCTAGAGAAAGCTACAAAGCACTTTTGTGATGTTTAAGTTCTTTCTTTCTTTTCAGGACATATTCATCATGATGCAGGTAATAATCCTGTTGACTCCGTGCTTGGTTCGAGTCATTACTATGTCAACATGAGCTTTTACTCTGATCCTAATTTTGCATATCAAATCAGTGGAAATCCCATACATGTTGCAGTAGGAAACAAAGTTTATGTCAAGGTTTTCACCACAAGCTCTGACTGGACAATCAAAATGAGGGTACATACGTGCTACACAAAACCATCTGCAACTGCGTCTGACAGTTTCAAATTTGAAATGATAAAGAATGGGTAAATAATTATACAATTATTTTAAATGAATTATTTTGAAACATTTTGAAATATATAGACTTGACAATATTTAAGTGATATTCGTATAAACTGCATTAAGAGCAATAATATAAGATATTATGATTTAATAGATTAAATGTAATTGAATCTACAGCGTTAACATATCGTAAATATATTTGTCAAAGAACTTCATAATGCTGTCAAATGATTTAATTATTTGCTGTCAAGAATTTGATTTTGTCATCAAATCATTTGATTATGCCGTCAAAGAATGTCAATATGTTGTCGACGATATTTTATTGTTTTCTATATTGATCGATAATGATAATTTCTTTCAAGGTGTGAGATGGATTCAAACACTCATATCATATCACAGTCCTCACATGAGACTCGTTTTGTGTTCGAGGATTTCGAATATACCAGCAATCACGAGGGTCTTTATGTCTACTGTGATGCCATGTTCTGTCGCTCCTCCGACTACTCCAGGCAATGCATGCAAACATGTAATCCGTAAACGCAGTATTGTTTTCATTGAAGACATGGATACAATAAGATAATTTTCAAATGATAAAGAACACAATAAACTTTAAAAATGCAAATGTAAGTTGCGTAAGTTGAGACTTTTAAGCTTTGTTTATAGTTATGATTTCTTATTATTTAGAATTGGTTCTGATTTCATTTTCTGGTCTATCAATACAATATGTTCAGTGGAAAATAAACCATTTTCTTGTTGCAATTTAACATATTATTTTGCTTGTTGTTGCAGTCGTCATTGTTATTATTTCTGTGGTAAGTGCTAATTCTTTATAGTGCTAGTTATCCTCCTAACTCACATTTAGAGTAGCGCTCTGGCCGAGTGGTTAACATACCGAACTCGTAACCTAACAATTACTGGCGGCTTTAGTTGAAACATTTTCCAGTGAACAGTTTATTGACGTAAGAACTTATTGAGTTTATTTAGGTTTTAAATTTGACCAAAATATATCATAAATAATATCTGAACTTGTCAGGTACCCTAAGTTTATGATGTCCGATAAGTATTTTATATATTATATGATTGTTAAAGTATTTATAAAAATAATTGCCTACCGACTGTGTAGATGCTGGTGTTAGAAATTGAGTTCATTTATCGAAACAGGTAAAGTTCGTTTAGTAATACACCTAAAGTGTTTTAATTTTCAAGATTAATAACCCTACAAGAAATTACTACGTCATTGTTATGCAAGCTATGCTAACATTTCGTTATGTCTTTACATACTAACTAATAAGAACTTGTTTATCTTCAAGCTAAATCTGGATAGTTGTGTAATCTTTCAGTTATACGGCTTGCAAAATTATTATGAAGTCAATCACTGTTTACTGAGTGTTTTTTGTTGTTGTTTTTTCGTGTTTCATTAAAAAAAATGTGTCTCTTATATTTTAACAATACAATTAATTAATTGACATAAAACAGAATGAAAACGGTACACTAGAATATATTTAAAGTTAAACGTGCCTGACAGTAACATTTAAAGCCAAAAAGATGGGATAATCGACGTCGTTTTCAAGTTATTTGCATGTGAATTAGAAAAGTTTTCTGATCTCATGCGGATTGCTATCAACATAGGCTTGATAGGATTAAAGAATTGATAATAAGAAGTTGGTTTATTTTTTCTTCTTTACTAAACGTTTTGCAACTGTTTTTAAAATTGTCACTTTTAAAGAATGTTCAGTGTCTTAACTTGAACTGAATACAGTCAACAAAAATGTAAAATGGAATTCAATGAAATTTGTATTCTAACCAAGGATAGAATAAAACATACCAATATTAAAAATAAAGTTTGTAAGAGTTATGTAAAAGTTTTCCGCCCTGAAAATGACATTAACTTAAACAGATGTTTACCTATGTTTAACCCTTGTATACGCCTTAAATTATTGGTGGTGACTTTTGTAGACATACTAGCCAGTTTCCCAAATAGTAATGATTAAATCTCTATATTTTCTACTACATTTTAAAGAAAACAGGTTTGTGTAATAAAAACAACTGAATTTGCAATTAAACACATGTTGAATAAAGCTGACACGTGATTTTCAGTTTAACATTTTATTAATAAGTAATTATATCTATAATTATTATACATGTATAACGTTTTTAAAAGATGAACAATTGCACATGTCATGGGGACATTTAACGAGATATTTATATGTAATAGAACAAAATGAAAATCTAATTATCTTCTAGTATTGATAATATCGTATCTATGTTAAAACGGTATATAAAAAAGAAATATTGTAAACATCCTACTGTATAAGCATAATTATGCCATATAAAAAGCTGAAAACTGTACTCTTCTTGCTGTAATTCATTTTAGATGTCAACTTACAGGGTAGGTGACCACATGCCATTTGTTTACGGTAAGATTAAGTCACCACTAATGGTCATACCCATGATTTAAAATGGTTTTTTCTAAATTCTCGTTTTTGTCTTTCAATATTTTAATAAACAAAAAATACCATAATCAAGGCAAGTATTTGCTAATTCCCACAGTACATTACTTTCTCTTTCACTTTTCCGTTATGACGGCAGCATATTTTCTAGGTGAAAATATGCGGTAAAAATATGTCACAAAGCATATCGGGAAAGTACAAGAGTTTCATTCATTGGAAAAAATATGTACAGTTGAAATTGGCAAATATTTGCTTGGTACATGGTCTTTGATATTTTCTTTTAAATATTGAAAGTTAAAGCAAACAATTACAAAATACCTTTATGTCGTGGGCACAGCCTTTAGTGGTGAACAAATGTTATCTTAAACAAATCTCACGTGATCACCTAACTTGAATTATAAAAAGTAAACAAATTTAAGTTATTAAAACATACACAAAAATGAATAAAATAACAGAGAAAATCTTGAAAAAAAGTAAATCATTTCTATACAGTATATTCTTTTCCTCCAATTTTACGTTTTGACTTTTAAACCAAAACTGATCAAAGCTAAAAATTGCTACACCATTAAGTGGTATCAAATATCCTGTAAGGTGATATATATAAGAACGCACCCCTATCCTGTAGAAAAATGATTTATCAAAGTTTCTGTACAAGAAGCATTTCAAGTTTTAAAAAAACTGCCAAAGTGAATATTATTTCTCTGAAATTGTATATGCGTCAGATAAACTTATTCATCAGAGATGTAATATATAACATGTATAAAATAACTCCAACTTCTGATTTAGTGTATATTTTCCGTTTAACTTTGAATGAAATCCAGGACTTGTTCGTATGTTCTTTCTTTAGGCTTCTATTTTCCTTCTGTCAACTGTATGAAATAGGTTATTATGTTTATAGCGTACAAAAAGATCTTTACATACATTTAAGATTCATCTTTGTCATTTGTTTGCCTTTTACTTAAAATGGAGAATTTTTCAAAGTTAAGGTAGAACGCGACACTTTGCGAACTTTCGAGAAGCGTCTTAAAAATTGGCATGCAAAAAGTTGACCATATTCTGATAAGGTTCCGTTGATTTTATTTCAATAGTTTCAGCCAATTTTTGTACACACGGCGTCAAAGTTAACCATCAAAGTCCGTTTTTGAACATGACGTCGTTTCGTATCCTTTGCAACTGTTACAGGTATTTCAACGCCATTGGCGGACAAAATATCTTATACTCTACAGCATCCGACGGAAATTATTTTTTTCCTTTAAGCTGATATAAAATTTATCGTTTTACGCCGAAAAATGTTTGCAAAATGGAAAGAAAATTGTCAATTTTGTGTAAAACTTGACGTTCAGTTTAGCCGCAATTTTCGGCTTTAAAGCGGCTTATTCCTGAAATAAATTTTGATTTTTTAGCTCACCTGATCATGCTCAGGGTGAGCTTTTAGGATCGATGATTGTCCGTCGTCCGTCGTCCGTTCACATTTAGTTGTTAACACTTTAGCGGTCGCATTTTTGCCTCAATCATCATCAAACTAGGTCAGGATGCTTATCTAGTTGATAGCTCGGATGAGTTCGAACATGGGTCATCTCGGATGAGAAACTAGGTCACAAGAGCTAAAAATAGAAAAACCTTGTTAACACTCTAGAGGTCACATTTTTGCATCAATCATCATCAAACTTGGTCAGGATGTTTGTCTAGGTGATTGCTCGGATGAGTTCGAACATGGGACATCTCGGATGAAAAAGTTGATCACCGGAGCTAAAATTAGAAAAACCTTGTTAACACTCTAGCGGTCACATTTTTGCATCAATCATCATCAAACTTTGTCAGGATGCTTATCTAGTTGATAGCTCGGATGAGTTTGAACATGGGTCATCTCGGATGAGAAACTAGGTCACAAGAGCTAAAAATAGAAAAACCTTGTTAACACTCTAGTGGTCACATTTTTGCATCAGTCATCATCAAACCTGGTCAAGATGCTTGTCTAGGTGAAAGCTCGGATGAGTTCAAACATGGGTCATCTCGAATGAAAAACTAGGTCACCGGAGCTAAAAATAGAAAAACCATGTTAACACTCTAGAGGTCACAATTTTGCCTCAATCATAATCAAACTTGGTCAGGATGTTTGTCTAGGTGATAGCGCGGATGAGTTTGAACATGGGCCATCTCGGATGAAAAAGTAGGTCACCGGAGCTAAAAATAGAAAAACCTTGTTAACACTCTAGTGGTCACAATTTTGACTCAATTGTCATCAGACTTGGTCAGGAAACTTGTCTAGGTCATTGCTGGGAATAAATCGAACATGGGACATTTCGGATGAAAAACTAGGTCACAGGAGGTAAAAATAGAAAAATCTTGTTAACACTCTAGTGGCTACTGTTGTGATCCAAATATTCTGTTAATTGGTCTGAAAGTTTGTTTTGATGATTTCTAAGTCAGGATCGAACATGGGTCATCTTGGATGAAAAACTAGGTCACACCGCCCAAATATGGAAAAACCTTGTTAACATTCTAGTGGTCACATTTTCGACTCAATTATTATCAAACTTGGTCAGGATGCTTGTCTAGGTACTTGCTTGGATGAGTTTGAAATCGCATGTGAAACTAGGTCACCGGAGCTTAAAATAGAAAAATCTTGTTAACACTCTAGTTGCTACTGTTTTGATCCAAGTATCCTGGAAATTGGTCTGAAAGTTTGTTTTGATGATTTCTAGGTCACGTTTGAATATGTGTCACCTGGGTAAAAAACTAGGTTGCACTGCTCAAATATTGGATAACACTGTAGTGGTCACATTTTTGACTCGCCTGTCATGAGACTTGGTCAGAATGCTTGTCTAGGTAATTGTTTGGATTAGTTTGATAAGTCAGGTGAGCGATCTAGGGCCATCATGGCCCTCTTGTTTCTTTTAACGTACTTTAAAATGTATACTTAGTCTAAATGACTAAAACAAAATAGGGGGTCACCGACTCAATTTTTTCGGTACATGTGATTATATTTCCCCAACCCCTTCGGATAAAAGTCACGCTATCACGGGGCGTTTGTAATTTTTATGTCATTAAAACGATCGCCCTTTGTCAAAATCCCGCTATAAACGGAATTTTACGCCATTATGACCACTTCGGAAAATATATGGATACAATAAAGGATACGGAATTCCGAATATTATTGATAGGCAAAAATAAGTGAAATTTGAATACTTAGATGTACGGGACCGTATATCATGCAATTCGTATATGACTAATATACCGTCATCCGTACACTCGTAATATACGGGAACTTTGTATGATGTTTGTATTTACTTAAATACGTATTTTGTTAATTACAAGGTCAGATATTACCAAAATATGATTTTTTTTCTTGTAAATATACATTTTGTATATAAAAAAGAGAATAAGGATGTAATTCAGAATGACCCACTTTCTACAAGAGGAAAGAAATAATAGTCTGATCTGACATTTGTCAGAATAACATTTTTAAACAGTAAAACTTTGAGTAAAATGTAATATTTCCCGGTTTCATTAACATGTCAATTGCATACTGATTAAATGGTCAGTGAACAGAACATATAAAACATCGCCAGATCCTCGACAGTGCCCGTAGAATGTACTGATACAAAATGACAATATATATTTAAATATCTTTATTATGTATAAAGATTTACATCGCAACACTCCTTTGTGCAGTATCTAGCCCATCCTGTTCTGCTAAACATCTGCAGACGTGTATTTACAGCGTTTTATTATATTTCATGTTTAAAATACTGTTTTTAAGTTTTCCTGTTCAAATTAATTCTACCATAAATTTGGCTATACAGTGAATAATGAATGTTTGCAAAGGTCGATGACTTCTAATCAAGTAACCTCTCTGGCGTGGATTCGATCCCCGGGAGATGCTTTGGTAGTTTAGCGCGGAGGAAGGTAGTCTAGTACTGGTGTAACTCACCAGGAACGATGGTTGAGAACTACCCGCCTATATGACTGAAATACTGTTGGGAAAAGGCGTAAAATGAAACAAACAAACAAATGCCGATTTGAAAGTTATGTTTTTAATACAGCGTGTATAGTGAATTCTCAATTAAACGTTATTTTTAACATTATGATATTCTAAAATGATAAGCAAAACGAGAAAAAAAGTATTAAAGATGTTTATTTACTTGTAGAATCGAACGTGCTACATCTGTTATCCACACCTACTGAGCTAACGTTTCAAACATGACTGTTGCTTCACGCTAATATAATTGACTAAATTTCATTTATGAACCGTATATTTTAATTTGTCAATATTTCGCACAGTTATTTAGCATAAACTCTGTCAAATTGTTGTAATAGTTTTTGCTTACAAATGAAATTCAAATTCTGGTTTTTAATAGGTGAAATAAAATACATATCACTCACAGTATATCACTCATAGTGTGGGTAATGCAAAATGTATAGCTTTGCAGAATTTTTTGTAGTCTACTTACACATGTATGAATTTATGATCGAATTTCCGTAAATTTCTAAAGTTACATAAACATATATATAGTTGTTTGTTGTTCCTTATGGCATATTTCTTGATTTAGTTTTATTAATTTTAATGTATTACAATATCAAAAAGCTACACCGCAATAATAACTCTCCGCTGTACTTGTTTGCGCAGCGTACGTGTTGCCGTTGAACGCCTGACGTCATTTTCTGTACATTCGTCTGTTTACAATTCCATGTGCAGTTATTAATCATGTTAAAAAAACAAAAAGATTTTTTTTTGTTTTTCGTACATTTTTTTCAGCAAACATAAACGTCACAAAATGGAAAGGCGATAATAAATTCAATAAAATTGCACTTGATAAGCCCATGATAGTTAGACAATTGTTGTTACATATCTAGCAAGTTTCGTTCACTGCTGACAGTTCCTTTTTGCTCAATGGTTTCACGTTATATTGGAATGTTCCTGTATTTAGACTTTACTAGTCTGGGTTCCAGTCTTTGCTTCTGTTCAGAAAATCGAGTATATATCAATCAGAAATTGCGACGTGCTCGTAAAAAATAGCGCGTATGTTATGAATAAGCAAAAATATCAACGCCTAAATCCCAGGCTAAGATTTTAAATATAAATACACGTATGCTTTTTCATCGCCAGGTCTCGTTTTAAATTTTAAGCATTTGCAAAGGAACATTGTTGTTGTTGTTTCATATGTATTAGTAAAGCTCTTGAACAATTCTCCTGATAAGCTGAACATTATTGCCGCACTTTGAAGTCTGAAACGTATCTACATACGTCGAATTTCGTTCCAAAATTATTCAAGGGGTGGGGGAAATGAAATCACGTGTACCGAAAAATTTGAGTCTGTGACCCCCTATTTTTTTTTAGTTATTTTGACCAATTTTACATTTTTAAGTACATTTAAGGAAAAAAATCAAAAATTTATTTCAGGAATTTTTAAATAAGCCGCTTTAAAGCCGAAAATTGCGGCTAAACTGAACGTCAAATTTTACACAAAATTCACAATTTTCTTTCCATTTTGCAAACATTTTTCGGCGTAAAACGATAAACTTTATATCAGCTTAAAGGAAAAAATAATTTCCGTCGGATGCTGTAGAATTTAAGATATTTTGTCCGCCAATGGCGTTGAAATACCTGTAACAGTTGCCAAGGATACGCAACGACGTCATGTTCAAAAACGGGCTTTGATGGTCAACTTTGACGCCGTGTGTACAAAAATTGACTGAAACTATTGAAATGAAATCAACGGAACCCAATCAGAAATATGGTCATGTTTTTGCATGCCAATTTTCAAGACGCTTCTCGAAAGTTCGCAAAGTGTCGCGTTCCACCTTAAAGATATATATGCGTGGTTTCTTATATAAACAAAGTATATTACAATAAACACTTACTTCAAAATTATTGTTGTTTTCTGTTAACTGTTCGTTTTGTTGGTTTTACCCCGCACCAACACAATTTAGATCAGATCATAACAACAAAGATGTTTTAGCTAACATCGAGTGTTACAAACTCTAAGCAACACCAGGGTCCACAACCACCCAACCTGCTGGTGCTTAGAGATGTATAGACTCTAGTAATTCGAAATCATTTAGTCACATTAATAAAACCATGTTTTTCTAATCGCATCTCCCTGATTTCTTGAAGTTCATTTGCTTCGTATAAATCGAACAAATGTCTTACCATGAGCATGAATGTGAAAAATATATGACTTGCCTGAAGCTTGAAGCTCAGTTATTTTAATTCTATATTTGTTCATTGAAGACGTTTTTCTAATTTCTTTCTGAAAAGTAACAACATATCTTTAAAAACATTTCTTATTAAATAGGAAATGTGTTCAATGACATTGGTAGTGGATGCACCACATTGCACTATTTGCCACCTTAAGTTCCTGTTGATAATTTAGTGACGTGACAAGTTTAACTGAAATACCACTTTTTTCTTCTGACATAAATAGTTTGTACATTTTTGTCATGTCTACTCACTTTCAAGATAAGGCAAAAAGGTTAAAGCCGAAAAGGGTTTATTAGATTTATCATAAAGTGTTGCTTACAGCGTTTTACATTTGTATTACGATTTTAAAATCTGTTCCATACGAATATGTTTTCTTCATCAACCTTCTTTTATTGCTTTCAATGACCAAATCATACTTCATATTGATCAAATATATTATCTGTGATACTGATGCTGTAATACTAACATGTGTTTCCTCAAGTCCTTAACTTCTTTCTGTAATTCCCTGTTTTCATTTTCGATGTCAGTCGATTCTGTATATTTGTCACTGAAAAATATCTTCAAATTTCAGTTGAATCATTTCAAATATATATATATACATAAAATATATATGTATATATCAGTATACAGTACTTTTCTACTTAATAGAGTCGTTCTTTTAGTTCATTAGATTTCATTCATCATTAGACGTCCTTTATTTTATTAACGTTTACGCCATTGACGTGGTTTCCATAATACTTTTTCATTATATACAGTCTTATGTTTGGGTATAATTGCCTTCAAAGTTATACTTGTCCTTTTCTAAAGTATACAGGTGCCCCTTGTCAACTCTTCTGAAAGAAAATACGATAATGATGAATTTCTTTATTCATGACATTTTGAAATTCAATCTCGACAATATTATACAAAACAAGATAAAACCAAATGTTTACATTTTGTAAAGATAATTTGCTATAATTTTATGTAAGCAATAAGAACCTATTGTTAATATACTGTAATAGTTTAAGGTCATATTGTTTCAAACGAGACGATATCTCTTAGATCAGTTTTTTTAATGTTAAAACTTTTAGATATATTCAAAACTTTTATTTCAAAATATTATAACATAGGTAATTTTAGAAGGTACAATATTTTTTGTAAAATATACATGTACGATAAATACAATATATAAAGAATATTGAAAAGTAACAGTAAGATGGTTTTTTTTCAAATTCCTCCTCTTATTCTTGAATGAAAACAATTATGTAATATCATACTGTTTTATAAAGGTATTCCGTTAAACTTAAAGCTAACAATTTGTCGAGACAAATTATATATGTACATGTACCAACTTTAGAATATATGATCTATTTATTTTTCATATAAATTGTGGTATTGAACAAGTAAAAACAATATACATGTAATACTTATGATAGAAAAGTAATTATAATGCTTAACCTAAAATTTTGCTAGGTGAGTGTTATCTTGAGAATCTATCATGTATAACCTTGGTACACTTTAAAGATATCCATCTTGGGGATTTATGTTTTGTTTAAACGATGATTATGAAAGAAATCAATACTTAGCTAGCAAGTAACGTAAGAATTTATTTTATTAAATGAAAAGAAGTAACATATCTTGAAAGTAAGTATATGATTTCGAAACCACTCTTGATTTAGGTAATTCTATATCAACGTTTTAATGTATACATGTACTTCATTTAGTTATAATGGTATTGCATGAACTAAAGTGAAATTCTATAGAATAATTGTGGCGTTTAAAAAACTCCTTACAGGGCTCTTTGTCAGCTCTTCACTGTTTTATAAATTTGATAAGATATATATCGATGTACAAATGTTTGAAAATACATACATATATATATAGTATAGAAAACAGAATCCTAAAGAACGTGTAACTAGAGAGAAAAAGAATCCTTAAATAAAGTCCAATACGGCATAATTTTAATTGTTGCAGGCTCGGTTTGATTGAGTCTGTCCAGGGACTGAACTGGACAGCGCAAATAACACTCCACGCCCCCCCCCCCCACCCCGAGCCGAAAACCGTTAATGTGTGGCCGTATTATTTATCAAATCTATCTATAGCTAAAATATACAGCAATTGGACCTGCAACTTTATATAAATTTATTTTCGAATATATTTAGATCCTTTTCAAACAAACAGAAATTTTTAAATGTTCACTTACAAGCTATTGGCTTTAGCTCCAGCAACTTTCAATGACCTTACGTCTGCATGCTTTGTAAACTTGTTATGGTAATGTAAACAATTTTCACACATGAAACGTCCCAGAAGACCGCATTGCTTGCAAAAATATGTTGCAAATGAAATCATTCTTTGAGGATGACCATAACAAATAGCACACAAATCTTGAACAGTGTTATCACGATCCCCTGTAAATATAGACGCTGCGAATGATTCAAAAACCCCACTTCCGCAAGCAACGCTTAAGAAATCGTCACTAATTTCCGTCCCTCTTACACTTAATTCCGATACCGATTTTAAATCGGTGCATTTACCAGTCATTCTGACTGAAGACAAAGTTCCCATTATTGTCTTTCATGGATTTCGCATAAAGAGGTTACTTCCAACTCTGACAGTTTAAAATTTCTTTAAGTATCACTTCCTGAAAATTAGGTTATTATCTTGATAATGTTTTCATTATATCATATGACATGTTTATAATCTATCATTCATAAAACATCTATAAAGAGATAAAAATAAGATTTAAGATATTACTGTTTAGCCCTTTTCGTGTTGATCAAACATTTTATCAAACGATGCGTTTTTTTTTTTATAAATTATCAGTTGTTCATTGACAAGTTAATAAAACATCGAGTAATCATTTATAAAATAAACGACACCTTGATATACGATATTTAAAATGTCAATGGTTTACAGCTTAAGAACACGCCGCCGCTGGGATATATCAAAGGTGAAGGACCCGTAAAGTGCAGAAAAGAATGCACGACCTTGAGACAGAGTAATATTAGAAAATGGTAAATGACAACTTTAGCGTAAAGAATTTATACCAATATGAACTGTATTTTGTACAGTTTTTAAGTAAACTGCGAGAAAAGTTTTAACTTTCATGTCACTGTTTTAGTTTGTTGAAAAATTAGGTCTCTCAACGGACTACAGTATACACTTTTATGAATCGCAATATGAGCCACTTTAATATAATCTTGTGGACTCGTTGAAATAAGTTTGTGATATCTAACGCGTAACTGACATGAAACGCATTTTCCATTAACCTGGTAGAATTACGTTACTTTTCTTTTTAGTGCATTTGTTGTCGTAAAAGGAAGGAATGCAATATTATTCAACGTATAAATGACCAATCTGTAATTTCTTTTTGTTGTTGTTATTGTTATTTATATTGTGACGAGAAAATTAAAGCACAACTGATACATAGAATTTTCAATACAACGATGACAAAAGTGTTAGACTTGATCGCTTATTATATGTATCTTTGTTCCATTTAAATATGATGCCGATCTTTGGAGGTAAATTATTCTTGTTTTCGGTAATAGATATACGATTCAGTTCATGTCTTACATTCAAATTCCATATTAGAAATGAACATCAACCGACAAATTGCTGACTGATAAGGATTATACATGTTATTATTCATGACTCAGTGACCACGATTGCCATGTCAACCTTTATACAAGATAGAAATGATGATATAGTCTGATTTTATTGACCATTTAAATATTCGATTCAACTTCGGTTTTGTCCGTGTAGTATACAAGAATTAATATGGAGGATATAACAAATGTTTAAAATGTCGCGCCAGCTTATTATTAAGGTCTTCGTTACATCCGCAATAGCACAGTTGGTCAAATTATTGCCTAATATGTGACAGGTCTGTGGTTCGATCCCTACTGATGCCATTGTTTCAGACTCTTTCTTTGTTTTAGCAGTGTATTTTAATTCAAATGTCCAGTACTTGCATAATCGTGTACACGGATATGAAGCCACTTAGAAACACTGTTTTTTCTCGATTTGTATTGTTTTACAGCATTGAAATGGCGTTTATTGATTTTAATCTAAATGAAATTTTAATATTAATTCTTAACCAATGTTATTTAAAAAATACGGGTACGATTTATTGAGAAAAAGTGCATAGCGCAGGTTTGGACTTCCTCCAGTAACGATCAAGGTTAACTGACTCATTTAAAATTCTTATATACGCTTGCAAAAGGGAGATTAAAATGTATAAATTTATTAATATGTTTCCACTCTATAAATATGCATGTTATCTCCCTTTGTTTCCCAAAATCTATTAATTGATTATGTTCTTATCAAACTTTAAATTTTTACACTTAAAATTATTGAGGAGGTTATAGGTGTTTAAGATTTTTTTTTTGAAATAAGAAGTCTTATTAAATAAAACTGATGAAACTAAAAATATGTAAATACACAAAATAACAAGTTGTATTTGATACATATAAAATATCAGTTTTTTTAAATAATTAAATAAGAAATGGAGTTGTCTTGACAACCTGTAAATCATGTTCCTTGGGTCAATATAGACCTTGTCATAGGGGTCACTTAGATAGAAAACAATATTTGCATGAGTTTACATGTATGCATTCTTATATAAGGTGGTTATTTTGCATGTATTATTACCTAGATAACACTGGTGTTATAAAATGGATCCGCCCGGGATGTCTCAGTTTATATTCCTGTACATAGAACATAGATATTTAGCATGTAGCATCACTTTGCTGACTTTATAAAAGTAAAATTATTACTTTTGTACAAATCATGAGCAATGCATTTTGATTTCTGTATTTTTAGGCATAATGTTTTGTGCTTTTGAATTGCTGGTATGATATTATGAGTAGGTTTCTTAAAATCTTTATAAATTAAAAAATAACATTATTTTTTGTTGTTGTTGTTGTTGTTGTTGATATTTTTCATTTAGTATACATGTATATACATGTACTCTAAATATATACATTTACTCTAATCGTAGCGTATATATGCATCTCTTAGTGTTCATGTGACAAGAGCATAGCTCTTTGATATGTATCAATATATAAATTTACTAACTATTATATTGATATTTGAAATAAAACATGTTCCGAATAAGTGTTATGAATGGGTCTTCTCTCTGAATTAAAAATATTTTTGAATTTGCTTAAAATAAATTTGTATTCAGACACATATTGCATCGCCTTTGTAGTGCTGTTATTGGTCACATCTCGGCGGTCGAACCACCTAACTGGCTTTCTTGGATGACAAACCAGTAATTTTCCCGCAAGTGACCCATTACTGATATGACATAATTCAGAATTTAGCGTAAACATTATTTTCCAAACACTGGCAAGATGGACTGAAAAATTAAAACACGTTGAGATTTTGTATGTTTTATTGAATTCAAAATTAATGTGCTCACTGTTAATTAACTACATAAAGCAATGAAATGAAACGCTTTTATCCTTTGAGATAAATGAATGCAAAACTAAAATGTCTTCTACTTACTTTTTTATGAAAATAAAATGGTGTAAATTTCATCCCATTTGCCTTAAGCAGATTATAATGATATTGTCTAACCGGATGGACCAGCAACATAAAACTATGTACATATCATATACAAGAGGTATTTTATATAACCCTTGGCAAATGATACAATGTGGGCCCGTTTTTATTGACTTTCTTGATTAGAAAAAAAACCAACACAAGAATTTCTTTATATGGAATACTTTGAAAAAACAAATCAATAGGTATTTGGAATTAAAAAAAAAGATTAAAGATCAACAAGGCAAAGGCAACGTTTAAAGGACGCAGCCCCTGACACATCTAAGAAGGGCACCCAGAAGCCAGCAAACCAAAACTGGGAGTGGACACAAGGGTGTATTGTGTGAAATAACAAAACTCAAAACGAGACCATGTGGGAATTAAAGGGCTGTAAGGGTGAAAAGGGGCAGGGGTAAAAATGGGAGAGGGGAGTCGAGAAAATACCTACCGTCAACGACAATTCAACAAAACAGACATCACAAAACATGTAAACATTCAAAACAAGTAACAATACAGACACGAAAAACACGTGAAGGAACACAGACGGGTATCGCCTTGGAACGGTCAGTGGTATAGTTAAACCACTGGGTAGTTTAAACCGGTTTAGGTGCGCCAAACCTGACTCTTAGCCCCAATATGTACCTAAATGACACGAAAGTGTTAATAAAATTAATCCTCGCCAAGTTAAATTCTAACTATGGCAATGGTTACATTAGACGAAATAAATAAAACACATAAATGATAGTGTAAATATGTACAAAAAGGTAAGCCTAATGACCATCACCGAAGTACTCTTGCCTTAAAGGAAGACAGAGCAACAAGAAAATCACCTACAAGCGCCCAAAAATCAATGCATAGAGATTTTCTATTTTAGATAATTTAATATATGGAACATACAAAAATAGTATATACTTATTAATGTTCAATATATATTTCTTGTAATACATTCATATACATGTATTTGTTTGACATAATTGATATTTTTATCCATTTTGTACACATATGTTAGAACAATACACAATTTATTAAATAAACCTATATAAGAGTAATGATTTTTTTTTGTTTTAAACAAATAGCATTAAATCAAATATTAACGACAGCCAATAGTATGACTCGTGCAAAAGGAAATTTCTGACATAATCTTTTACATTGCATGAAAATATAATTTGATAGGAACATTCAACTTCTATCAATCAATGAATACGCAATACAATGTACTTCATAACCTACATCGATGACAGTTGATGCTTCCGTATATTCAAACTGAGTTCATGTGAATATATCACATATAGAGAAGTGAATCCATCCCAACATATTGAATAATATCTCTTTTGTTTTGAAGGTCTGTTATGTTTGGAACGTTTCCGTGATATTCTTTGGGATTCTTCAATTGTTTCTCCTTCGATAATGGTATTGAACGTACTACCCTCATCAATCGTTTGGGAGACCTCACCGTTTGAATGCAAAATAAACATCCCTTCAGCCTCTATCAAAGCGATGCTTTTTGGTGATCTAGCATTTGAAACGATTTTCATAACATTGAATTGTTTGGCAGAAACTATGACAATACCAGTAGTCGAATCAACAACATATACATTCTTTTCATTTTTTGATAGTTTAACTTCCCCAATATTTTTGGTAAAAATATGCTTGCCGCTTTCATTTGATTTCAGTACATCATCTAATTTTCCTGTACCTGTATATTTCCGTAACTGACCGTGCATTCCAGAAACAACAGTGACATAGAAATCGTTAGAGGATTTTACAATTCCTATGCATGGCTCGTTAGTTTGTAGTACAAGTTGCGTTTTTGTATTCTCTGTGGGATAAATGACTTGACCTCGATTTGGCAATGCAGCGAAAAATGTTTTTTCCACTGATTCTACAGAAGATACAATGTCAGGACAATTTATTATTTGTGACATGTTTTTCATTGTATCAAAAACAAGTATTGACTTTTGGAGCGGTACTATCAGATCTGATGGTTGTTTGTATACACTTTTATAAAATCCGTCATCTGCATCTAAAGTAACTGTATGGAGAATGTTAGCTGTTCCTGTTTCTTTATAAATGCGGACATTGTCTGCAAAATCAACAAGGACGTTCGGTTGCTTCAAGATCGTCAAGCAAACAGAACTTCTCATTAAGTTGAAATGTTCAGCTTCAACATCGCCATTGATGGCATTTGCAGTCTCTTCTATCACACTGATTTCTCTTAATAGCATTTTCATTTTGATAAACTGCATGGATTTCTCTTTGTATTGTAAAGGTATGTCTCCATCTTTTAAACTGTTTTCCATTTCATTGCATGTTTTCAAGTCAGCTTCTAATTTTCCTCGGATCTCCTTGTATTTTCTTTCAATGGCTTCTGTATGATTTTGCTGAAGGCTATTGAACGCAGCAAACAAATCAGATTGTATAGTTCCAAGAAAATGTATTGCATCTTCTCTCTTAACGACTAGCATATCAATGCTATTTGTACATGCTTCTTTCACCTCTTGTATCTTTGTTAAACACCGTTCTTTCCTTTCTTTAATATCGGATAATCCCTCATCTGTAACTTTGATTGACATTTCATTTACATCTAGCTTTGGTTTACATGACCGATGCCTTGTGTGTGAACAAGAGATGCAACAAAATTCGTCATGTTGCACGCAGAATTGATCTAAATATTTATCTGTGTGATAAAGACACGTCCCTGCGTTTACGCTTTTATTGAACTTCATTTGTGACTTATACTCTGACAGATGGTGCGACTTAGTTGTACTAAATCTATTATGAGCTCTAATACACGCCATGCAAAGGTATTCGTTACACTCTACGCAAAAACTGTGGCCGTTGGCGATATTACCTTCATTCAAACATGGTTGACACAAATTTTCAGGTTTTTGTTTTTTAAATGAATCTGCATTGTCGGTGAAATCTAAATATGCACCACCTACTTCCGTCAGCTGCAGATCTCTGTTAATAAAAGAAAATGAACGCAAATGAATTTAATCAAACAATAAGATCTTTTTTGGTACAATATTGCATTTTCTTATCATATTAATAATCTTATCTTTGAATAATGCACTTTACAAAATTAAACGCTTGTTTTCAGTACACATAATGATATCTAGTTGATACATGTTTAGTCGACTGCATTATAATTCTTCTATTTCCCGATTTAATTGACAGTATTCAAATAAATTTATGTAAAGTGAAATGCAATATTACAAAACTATTGATTAATCGGGGTTAACTAATTTTCCTTTCTATTGAAAAGCAAAATTTTTTAAAAGCTCTCAAATATTCATATCCAAGTGACCTTTTTTAAATTTTATAAAACAAACTGTTACTTGATTTTGAATACCAATCATAGTTTAAAGATTTTTAGATTATTGTTGATTTTTCATGAGGTCGTTTTTAGAAACGAAACTTCATCATGAAATGACTCAGATGTTCTCTTTTTGCACAATTGCGCTTGGGATATTGTCAATATTTAAAGACAAAACACTTCAACGGGGATTATCAGTTGACGATTAAATGAATTTCATTCGTACATACAACTTCTACCATGCAAGCTAAAATTTACCGCAAATTTGATGGCTGATTTGTGTCATTTCAAATTTTTGCTCCGAGGGGCGCTAGACGAAAAAAAACGAAAATACCACAAAGTGACAGTTTTGTCGTACTTTCGCTCTGTGTCGCGCCAGGCGAAAATACGACAATGTGTCGTATTTTCGTGTCTTCGACTTTTGCTCCGTGGCCGAGGGGCGCTAGACAAACTCATGAAAATTCGACAATGTGACCATTTTATCGTACTTTCGCTCTGCAGGGTGCCAGGGAAAATCACGAAAATACGACAAAATATGACAAAGTGATCACTTGCCGTACTTTCGTATTTTTGCATAGCACCTTAGAGAAAAATACAACTTGTCATAAATCAGGCACCATATTCAAATTATCAATACACTGAAATGAATTATGGCAAATTTATGTATATCCTAAAAATGTCTAAAACTAGCTGAATTTTAAGTATCTGCATATTCGGAACGTTATTTTAAAGAATGTTCGGTTCCTAGACATTGAGTAAAAGTTTATTCCTTGTGTTTGTTATAACACCCATTTTTATGCCAAATTTTGCTTTTCCATTATATTCTCCAGTCAATTAAACTTAACCGTTCTAAAATAATCAATTATATAAATTGCTGAGTGTTTGAACTTCACAATTTTTATACTCATTTAAAATCTTGTACAAATTGGACCCAGATAAAATCAATCATGGGACGTGATTACATATCTCAAGAATAGTATATTATCTCAAGAATAGTATATTATCTAAGCTAGCTTACTTTATCTATGACACATTAAACATTAAGTTTTTGTATTTCATAACAAGTATTTTATCAACATAAATCTTTTTCCACATAGACATTACATGAATCTTTTGTACTTAAATCTTTGTATGTTGACATATGACCTTATATCAAGAGGTCTTTCAAATGTATTTTTCACTTTTTTCATGATTTTATATATTTAAATGATAATTAACCTTTAATGTTTCTATTACATTTTTTAGCATTGTATTCATATTTATCACATACCCGTGCCGCTTTGCAACTCCGTAAAAACGGTATTGACGGCTGTACATATATAACATAGCGTAAAACCACTCTAAATATCAGTGTTACACTATATGCTCGCCCATGTAAAAAAATGATTATTTCAATGTAAACGATTCTTATTTTAGAATAAATGGAATACTATAATCGTGTATATTCAATTTTAAAATTATTGAACTCGTTGAATAAGAGGCTTGCATTATATGGTTTTATTCAAATAAATATGAAAACCACCATTGATTAAACCCCCATTTATGAATATAAATGTCATCTCCCACATTATTATAAACTGAGAAGCAGTGACGTTATGTAGTATTTATTCAAACATTTTGTCATAATAAAACCTAAACATAAAAGAAACGTCAATAACATAATGTTTGTTTTTCAAATGTTCTCAATATAAGTATTTAAACTTTTAGATATAACTCAACTCTATAATAATCAAGAGTTTACATAAAATGATATCATACAGTAAACTTATTTAATTTGAGTGTGCTTTATACTTAAAACCATTTCATTATACGACGTTTATATATATATATTTTCTTTAGATAGCGAGATAACCCATATTCAAACTCATTAGAGCTAGAAGTCATCTTTACAACCTTTCTGACTTTTTTTCAGGATATGTTTTGGGCAGAAACAGTAGCCACTAAAGTGTTAACAAGGATTTTCTATAATTGCGCTGTGGGACCTAGTTTCTGACACCAAATGACCAATATTTGAATTAGAATAATGACCAATTTCAGTATATGTAGACTAATACACTAGACTGTAGAGTGTTAACAAAATTTTTCCATATTTTAACTGCGTGATATAGTTTTTGACCTCAAATGACCCATTTTCAAACGTGAGCTTAAATTATCTAAACAAACGTCCTCGCTAATTCCAAGCTATTTGGACCGAAACAGTAGCCTCTTGAGTGTTTACAAGGTTTTTTTATATTTGGGCTGTGTCACCTAGTTTTTTTGACCAAGGGGACCAATATTTGAACTAGGCTAAAATCATCTCGATAACCTTTCTGCCCAATTTTGTAAAATAAATTGACTAAGACAGTAGTCTTTAGAGTCTTAACAAGATTTTCCTATATTTGGACTATGTGACCTTGTTTTTGACCCCAGATAGCCCATAACCATCCTTAAGCTAGAAATCATCTTAATAGCCTTTCTTTCCAATTTCCAGCGTATTTTTATAGTTATAGTAGTGTCTAGGTTGTTCACAACGTTTTTTTTCTTCAATTTTTGGCGGTTTTTGACCTAGTTCTTAACCCCACACAAACCAATATTTAAACAGTGGCTAGAAGTCATAAAAACAATCTTTCTGATAAATTTCCAGGATATTTGGACGATGACAGCAGCCTTTAGAAAGTTAACAAGATTTTTCATATTTGGGTTGTGTAGCCTTGTTTATGATTCAAGGTTGACCTAATTCAAACCTAAGCTAGAAAACATCTAAGCAACCTTTTTAATAAATTTCCAGTTTATTTGGGCTGAAACATTAGTCTTTATAGTGTTTATAAGGTGTGTTTACATATTTGGTCTGTGTTATCTAGTTTTTATACCTTCGTTGAGCAGGTTCGAACTTGAGCTAGGAATTACTTTAACAACCTTTCTGACCAATTTCCAGAAACAGTAGCCTCTAGAGTGTTAACAATGTTTTTCCATATTTGTACAACAACGTTTTCCCATATTTGGACAAGGTTTTTCCAATTTTTGACTAGGTGGCCTTATTTTTGACTGCAGATGACCAATATCAAAACATGATCTAGAAATGATTTGACCAATTTGTAAGATATTTTGACAGAAACAGTAGTTCTTGGTTGTTCACAACGTTTTCAATATTTATCGCATGGTTTGGAACATTTCCTTTGTTCTTACTAACCCATTATACTCAGTACACTTCAATGAGCAATTTAAAACTGTATTGATATATAGCAGTAGAGTTTTTTCATTGATTCATATAGGGAAAAAACTCGACTGTTATATATCGGTTGAGTTTTTTTCGCACCTTGTATATATCAATACAGTTTTTTTCATAGAGGCTCCAAAGGGGCAGTGGTAACGACCATTCCAGTAGCAAAAAAAAAAATAAAAAATAAAAGAATGGAATCAATAAAATAAAATATAAAATAAATTATAAATACAATGAAAAATATTAACAAAGATAATTAATGAAATGAAATTTACTCTCATTTAATCAAAAGGTACATCCGCTGAATGAATTATTTCCACTGAAAAAAAATCCCTTTAATCTTGAATCAATCTTGGATGTCTTTTGTATATTTTTTTGCGGCAGCGAAAACAACTTGAAAAACTGCCTTATTATAAATAACTGTAATGTAGCTAACGATTTATTTATTTATTTATTTGTTTCTATTACAAAAAAAAGAAAACATTATGTCATTGCGATAAAACAGTTATAGTATATGAAACTCGTTAGTTACGGGGATATAACATTGGCTGGGGCGACATCTCGGGATGTTTCTGCAAACAAAATTGTCTCGGCCTTACGGCCTCGCCATTTTTTAGCAGAAACGCCCCTTGATGTCGCCCCAGCCAGTGTTATATCCTCGTAACTAACTCGTTTCATGTACTATAACTATTACTTAGGTTGTGACCTAGTTTTTGACCCCAGCTAAACCATGTTTAAGCTAGAAATCATATAAACAACATTTCTGATAAATGTTGTAGAATAATTGGACTGAACAGCTGCATCTAGAGTCTTAGCAAGTTTTTTAAATATTTGGGATGTAAGACTTAGTTCTTATTTTTCTATTTTTGATTCCTGTGACCAAGTTTTCATCCCAGATGACCCATGTTATGGACCTTTCCAGTGTTTACAGTTTTATGTAAATTGGCTAACTGGTTGACCTTGTTTGCACAAAAGAACACGTGGTTACGTTTGTGATACTGTTTGTGAGCAGTTGACCTTGCAATGAATGGAAAATGTGTGGCTAAATGTTCCGCTACGAAAAAACGGAAAGGTCCATTCCTGGCCAAGTTTGGTGACAATTGAGGCAAAAAAAGTCACCACTAGAGTGTTAACGGACTAAATGTGGACGTACGGCAGACAACAGACATTCAGCGATGATCCTGAGTCATCTCAGGTGAGCTAAAAGCACGCTCGCCCTGTTAAAACAATGCCAACATTTTTAAATTTTGGTAAATTTTCGAAAACTTTATTTGGAATTTTCGAGAAATTATTTTTATTTATTATAGTCACTGTGTTCGGAACAATATTTGAATTGAATGTAAGAACCTAATCATGAATTCCTACAAAGTTATTTCTAACTATGATCTGAATTTTCACATTTCGATTATCCATGTAAAATGTATTTAGTTGTTTGTGTCCTCGTATTTAAATTGCGCGTAAGAAAATTATGAAAAACAAGTTGCCTTTGATATTTTAAAAATAAAATTGTGTTTAAAATCATGATCACATATGTCATACACTGAAAACATGTCTACAGTTATTGATTAGGTTTTATATTTGTTTCAGACAAAAATGTTATCTTCCGTACTGTTCTTTAAAAAAAATCCTTCACTTACTTAAAAGGTTCCGCCATTTTTATCAAATATCACCATTTGAGAAAATATCCAAAACAAACACATTTAGGATTAAACGATATCTTTCAAATTCAGACTTGTGCACATTTATTTTCCAACAGATAATGTAACTATTTCACGTAAAATTCTTTTGAATTTCAATGCATTACATATTGATCTTGGTTGCTAATCGACCCGCTTTAGTAAAATTATTAGTTCTCTGACCTTCTCAAATTTCACTGTCTAAGTAAACAAAATGATCTGTTGCACACAATATGGAATAAAAGTTATATGATCTGTTGCACACAATATGGAATAAAAGTTATAATGATAGACCAATTCGAGCGTTAAAAACGTAAAAATCTAACAAAATGTACATGATTGTACACTTAGAATAGCTTTAATCAAACTGCGATTACAAAAACAGTTTTACCAACTGACAATCACTCGTTGAAATATAATCCTTGTAGAATAATGAACACCAGACAGCGCGACAATTACATGTACTTATTTTAGACAGCTGGCATGATTTTGTGTTTTGCCTGGGGAAATATGACAAGCCGTTTTAAAGTGACATAATGCTCATTTTGTCATTGTTGAGCTGAATTTACCATATATTCTTTAATGAAATGAATGTTTTAATAGTGATTGACCAACAACTGATATTGGAAAATAGTGAAAAAGACATATACCACATATATTAAAAGACTGTCCAATCATTGTAAAAAAAACTGAACGTTACAGGTAAAATCTGATAAATATTTACAATACAGAAATTTACTTAGGCCACGTGAGTTATTTATAGTTCATGCTAAGTAAATTATAAGATCGAAAGAACTTCTGGCAAAATGTAAACTTATACCCCTGGATGCGCTTAATGCCATTTTATTGGCATGTTGTCGTCGTTTCGCTTTCAGCTTACACCGTGCAACAACATGCAGTTTACAACGCTACGTAATAGTCATAGTACATGAAACGAGTTAGTTACGAGGATATAACACTGGCTGGGGCGACATCAAGGGATGTTTCTGCTAAAAAAATGGCAAGGCCGTCAGGCCGAGACAATTTTTTTTGCAGAAACATCCCGAGATGAAAATGCTGCGCTGGCTAAAACTGTTGAAAAATTAAAATTAGAGAATAAACGTATGTCTGATGATATAGTAGATGTTACATCTAGGCTTATGAGGGATAACCTCCTTTTCTTTAATTTTGACGAGGAAAAGTCACGTGATGATCGCAGAACGAAGGACTGTAAAATCAAAATTATCAATTTTTGTACATCTAAGCTCGGTATTAATGATGCTGAAACTAGATTCAAAATCGACCGAGCCCATCGAATTGGAAAATTTGACCCTAAAAAATCTCGGCCGATAGTCGTGAAGTTTAATTATTATGGCGACAAAATGGAAGTAAAACAGAAAGCGCGGGATAATCTTGATGGCAAACAATATCGCATAAGTGACCAATTCCCGAAAGCTATACAAGAACGACGGAAAATACTTATTCCCTACCTAATTCAAGCTAGGCAAAATAATAAAGAGGCAGTTCTTTCATATGACACTCTATACATCGAGAATCGCGCTTACACGGCTGACAGCCTACCGCCAGGTCCAGCACCGACACAAGCGCCACGGTGGCAGCAAGGCAAACACGTGAATATGCGCACCGTGGACAACAGTAAGAGGGACTCAAGCCCGCGAGCGTCGTCTGTCATACAGAATGCTCGCCGTGAAGCGGATATGCAGCCGGACGAGCAAGCTATGACCCATGAATAGGAAGCAGATGAGAAGCAGCTAAAATTTCTTCTTTGGAATGTGCAAGGAATTTGTAAGAAACTGAATGATAGTGACTTTATCAATTTTCTAAACAAATATGACATTATCATTACTACTGAAACCTGGAATTCTAAAATATCAAATATTAGCATAGATCACTTTGAAAGTTTTTCGTGTCCGCGGCCTAAATATAATAAAAGGGCAAAGCGTTACAGCGGTGGTATAATTATATTTTATAAAGAGAAACTATCAGGTCATATTGAGTTAATGAGCTTAAACGATAAAGGTGTGATATGGTTTAAACTGAAAAAATCTTATTTTGGTACTTTGAATGACATTTATGTTTGTAGTTGTTATATTCCGCCCGAAGACTCAAATGTGTATAAGAATAGGGATTCACCATTGTTTGATTTTGACTTCTTTGAGTTAATAGCTGATGATATACGTCATTATAGACAATTAGGTAATGTCATGTTGACCGGTGACCTAAACTCTAGAGTAGGTCAAAGGTCAGATGTTGTGAATGATATTAACCTTGACCGCTATATTGATATGCCCTTGAGTGATACGGTCTCGGTAAATCTACCGGTACGATCATCATTGGATCTCCATTTAAATAGCTTTGGTAATAAATTGCTAAGCCTATGTAAGGAAAATAGTTTATATATATTGAATGGTCGATTAGAACCAGGAAAATTTACTTGCTATAATACAATACGTAACAATAGGGCCGCTAGCGTGGTCGAGTATGTTATTACTGATATAGATGTATTTTCTTTGATCGATTGTATGAAAGTACATGATTTATCCGAATTTTCGGATCATTGTTCAATATCGTTTAATCTCAATTATATGCATATGGAAACACAAGTAGTTAATTTTAATTCATTTAACAAAATTGTATGGGAAAATTGTGATATTAATAAATTGAATACAGTTTTGAATGATAAAAGGGCTATATTCGAGGAAATAACTAATAAACTCATGTTGAATGAATCTGATATAAATACCTGTATTTATGACTTTTCTAATATTGTGTTTGATATTTCATTTCAGCTTCAAGGTAAAACTTGTTCGCTGAAGCGTACAATTAGACCAAATGTTAAGCGGTCACCATGGTTTAATAACGAATGCAAAGCTAGTAAAATTGAGTTTTATAGATGTAAAAGACTATTTAGCGAAAGTCCAACTGATGTACATAGACATTTATTTTTGAATGCACGTAAACAATTTTGTAATGTAAAAAAAATCGCTAAAAGGAATTATTTTGATAGAGAAAAACGAACTTTGTCGGATCTTAGCAAAAGTAGCTCTAGAAAGTTTTGGAAGTATATACGTAAATATAATAATAGATGTAATAGAAAAGGAAATGATATTAGTCTAGATGATTTTATTAACCATTTTCGTAATATTTCGAACACACAACACGAGAGTACTTTTAATGATGATGATTATGTTGTTAGAGATGAAGCACTTCACATAGACAGTCTTGATTGTCCTTTCTCCTTAAATGAGGTAAAGGAAACCATTTCCAGTTTAAATCGTTTTAAAAGCAGTGATATTGATGGAAATGTAGCAGATTTTTTTATTGATTCAAACGAATTTATTGCACCATATCTTGTCAAAATTTTTAATGTTATTTATGATAAAGGTGAATATCCTGAGGCATGGAGTAAAGGAGCAATTGTTCCAATTCATAAAAAGGGTGATTATACTGACCCTGCTAATTATAGAGGGATAACTCTTGTAAATGTTGTTGCTAAGATATTTTCGCTTGTATTACGTAATCGTATTAATAAATTTTGTGAAAATGAAAATGTATTGAATGACAGCCAATTTGGGTTCAGAGATAAGCGTAGTACTGCTGATTGTATTTTTCTTTTGCATGCGATAATTCAGAAGGTTTTGTTAAATAAGTGTAAACTCTATTGTGCCTTTATTGACTACGAGAAAGCTTTCGATACTGTAATACACGAGGCTTTATGGATAAAATTAGTACAGTCTGGAATTAGCTGCAAAATTATTAAAATGATAAAAGCGATTTATGAAAATGTTAAGTCGTGTATAAAAAATCATGATAATAGCTCGAATGCTCAATTCTTTGATATCTCACTCGGACTGAAACAAGGGGAACCACTCTCGCCCCTTCTTTTTATTTTATTTGTAAATGATATATCTTCTTGTATTAATTTCTCACAACTTTCTAATGATGATATAAATTTATTGTCAATGTACATGTTATTGTTTGCTGACGACATTGCACTATTTACTACCAATCCTGACAGTCTACAACTCCAACTCAACCAGGTATATGAGTATTCACGAAAATGGGGTTTGAAAATTAATGTAGATAAAACCAAAATATGTATTTTTGAAAAGAGAAAATCTAGACATAACTATACCTGGTTTGTTGATAATGAGCCTATTGAAATAGTTGATTCATTTTGTTATCTTGGTATACAATTCTTTTATACTGGTTCTATGGTTAATGCTGTAAAAACTTTAAGCGACCAAGCTCTGAAGGCATATAACAATTTGTTGTCCGTGTTTAGTAGAATAAAACTAGACATTAAAACTAAATTGTCCCTATTCGACTCTCTCGTTGTTCCAATACTATTGTATGGAGTCTGGGGAATATATAACTGCAAAGAAATCGACAAATTGCATCTCCGTTTTTGTAAAATAGTCCTTGGTGTTCGACCTCAGACTTCCAATGCTGCTGTGCTTGGAGAGCTTGGTCGCTTTCCTTTATCTGTTATCTGTTAAGAACGACGTGCTCTTAAATACTGGTTAAATATAATGAAATATCCAGGGTCATTAGTACATACAATATTTTCGGAACAATGTGCTTTGTTACCTAATAATACCATGTCTACTTGGTCATCGTCTGTTAAAAAACAACTTGATAGTCTTGGATATAGCTACTTATGGAATTCTCTAAACCTTGATATGAATTATTTGCCAATGTTAAAACAAAGGCTGCGTGATCAGTACGTTCAAACATGGAATGATACAATAATGAATCAATCTAAGTTATATTATTATAGAAAATTCAAATGTGAGTTTAAATATGAAAAGTATCTAGATATTGTTACAAATGAGCATCAAAGAAAAGAATTGTCTCGTTTTAGACTCTGTTCCCATCTTCTTGAAATTGAAAGTGGTAGATTTGCAGGTATTGATCGAAACCTACGAACTTGTAAACTTTGTTCACTTAATGTTGAATCTGAATATCATTTTTTGTTATGCTGTCCACTCTATAGAAACCTTCGTCGAAAATATAATGTTAATTATTCTTTTCCATGCATTAATAAATTTACTAGATTATTGTCTTCAAGTAATAATAG